ATAAGGCAGTTTCCTCGTTTAAAGAAAAATAGCCTTCTCATTGATTTAAGAGCTCACTGATAGAAGTAAGCTACCTCATGTATCCTATAAAGAAATCTACCTATAGCCTGGTGCCAGTGGCTCACATCTGTAATGCTAGATACTTGGAAAACTGTGGGGAGGGTCGCCATTCAAGGCCAGCCTGGCAAAAAAAGTTCATGAGACCCCCATCTGAACCTATAGCTAGATGAAGTGGTGCATCTGTCATCCAAAGCTATGCAGGAGGCTGAGATCAGGAGGATTGTGGTTCTAAGCCAGTCTGGGAGGAAAAAAGTTCATGAGAACCCATCTCATGGGAAAAAAGCTGGGTGTGGTGTGGTTCTCCAGTCATTGCTGTGACACAGGGAGCAGAAAATAGATTGTAGTCCAGGCCAGCCTGGGCAAAAAGGAAGAGCTTATCTACAAAATAACCAGAGCAACTGCCTAACTAAATACGTATATATGAAGGCGGGCAAAAAGTGATTTTTCATGGAGTCTAGATAAAGCAACATTTTTCCAACATGTATTCCAAGGGACAGGGCTCCTGCTTATCTGTCACAAGTACTAAGTACTGACAGGTGAGCCACTTTTGATAAAGATCAATATATCACTTATTTCCATCCAGCTTCTTTTCCTAGAGTTCTTCCCATAGTAAGAAGTTTCCCTTCTGACATGAAAAAAATGTGATGAGCAGCTCATGAATATCATCTATTTGGCTGCTGATTGTGATTTAGGAAATGTTTTCCGGTAAACCTGTCCCAGATGAGTCATGGGGGACCCCTCTGGGGACACATCATTCCTGAGAAGATTTCAAGACTCTCCTAGATGGAGACAAGGCCCTAGAACAAAGGGAGCCATAGTCTGACTGGAACTTGCAGGGCTCCAAGTGGAAGTCTCTATCACAATCCCAGGGTGGGGTTATAGAGGCTACAGGAGGGTATGTGCAAGTGGAGTGGAAGCCCAATTCTCATTAGAACCAACCAGAAGTGTTTTTAGTAACACATTAATACATAAAAGTTATAGGGCATATCTAAAACTTGGGAGCCAGGATAATTTTAGAAACTATTCTGAAACCCCCAAATGCAAACTGCCTGAACTTAAGTATTATTGAATTGGCTAAGCAGAGGTTTTTGGAAACCTAACACTCTAAGTGAAAACTACTTTTGATTATCATTTATATTTAGGACTGAAGTCCAAAGAATATTTTTAAAGGGGGCATAGAACACATTGTATCATTTTCTCACTTAGGATGTAAATAATTTACAACTCTCAAAATACCTATCTGATTATATTAATAAAATTCATTTAATAGAAAATAATTTTGTGCATAACTCAGTTTAAGTAGTGAAAGTGTGAACTGTGGAGATATGAAGTATAAAGAGATATCAAGTTCATTATAAAACTATAAGTTTTATTTTACTATGGAGAGTGAAATGAATAAAAAGAAATAGTTGAATATTTACTAGATTTAAGTGATAATTTAGGAAGATTTTGTATTTTATCCCAAATTAAACAATGCATCAAGTACACTGTTAGATTCATTTTATTAACTTTAATGAACTATGCTTAACATTTTACAAATATTCAGTTACAGTTTTCAGCAGTAGGTATAGTAACAACAGCAATAAATATACTGAAACATGAGATTTCTCTGACGAAAGAGTACAAAAAATAGAAACACTTGGAAACAAGAGGGCAAAATACCAACTTTAGATCTGAAATGAAAATTAATGCAGTCAAATTCCTTTATGACATCAGTACATGGGGAAATGAGTAATTCATATCTTGTAAATGAAGACTTAACTGTTTGCTTCACCTTTCTGGGAAGTTTTGAGGTACAGTATTTGACCCACAGATCTCTAAAATCCAACAATATGTACTGATACCAGAGGATTCAAACCACAGAAAGTGATCTGAAAGTGATTGCCAAAGCAGAGAAGTGCTTTTATTCCTCAACATTTGTGATCTTTGTGGTGTACTATATATTATAAAATGACATAATCCCTATACAACTGCATAAAGTCATAAAAATTGATTTTACAAAGTCTCAAGATCATATGTATTCAAAAATACATATAGCTGTGCTTTAGTAAATGAATTTGTCAGTTATTTGACAGTTTTGCCTTCAAGATATATCCAAAGTATATACAAAGAATCCACAAATGTTAACAATTTGTAACCAAAATTATCTAGGTTTATATTTGCAAAAACTGTGTTGGCTTTCAATTTAAAAATTTAAGAAACTTGTGCATATTGTTGATTTATTATCACTGGGGTAAGAAAAGACAGATGGCTTCAGCTTTTGATCAGGAAATTTGTGAACTACTCGCAAATGAGAAGTCACACTCTTCTGATAATTAGAAAAGATAAATTGCCTAAGATTCTCAAATGAAAATACATGTGCAGTATTTTTTTTTCTTAAAAAATAAAAAAAAGATTTTGTTCTAAAACCAAATAAGAAGTTCTAGAAAAGCCCTTAGGATACATCATCTCACTTCCCTCACACAAGAATGAATAAAATAAGTGGTACACCTGGGTTACACACACACATACTAAAATGTGCATTTCATTACCAAACAGAGATAAAACATTTGGAATATGGGAAAAATATACATTTAAATTATGGAGGAGATGCAACATTTTGCTATGCAGTTTCTAACCTCACCCTAACAATTTATCAATATATGTAGATTAAAAGAAGATTAAACACACAAAAGAAAGAAATGTTACATGCAAAATTCTTTGTGCCAACGTGAAACACTAGGTCTATATTTTTGATAAAAACTGCACATCTGTTTAACTTGGCTAACAGAGGAAATTTACACTTAAGAAAGATGTTGTTTTATCCTCCTAATAATACAAGTCTATATCAAAGGCACTTCCACAGAGCACTAACTCCTTAATTTTTCCAAATCATTTCCATTCATGCCACTTTTAATCTATCTTTCTGTGTAAAACCAAAAAAAAAAAAACCCCTCTAATTGTAAGTTTTATCACTATAAAAGAAAGAGATGGAAGGAAGGAAGGAAGGAAGGGAGGGAGGGAGGGAAGGAGAGAGGGAGGAAGGAAGGAAGGGAAAGAAAGAGAGGAAGAGAGGGAGGGAGGGCCCACGTATTATCCAAAACATTTATCTCTTCTATGGACAGGGGTAAAATATAGCAAACATGTGCCTAGGTCTTTAAGTTCTTTGGGTTAATACAGAAAGGAGAGTTATCCAATAGGCTAGATTTTTCAGAAGTGATTATAGGAAAATATTGGCTGAAGTCACAATCTCAGTTTTATCTACAACTTTACTAAAGCTAATGTGGCTATTTTGGTTGTAAACTTTCAACTTGTCTAGGTGGCTTGAGTCTATGTTGCTCCTAAGTTGATGGTAGCTAATGAGAAAGCCATTTAGTTTCATTTTATTTCTCACCAAGGAAAGGGATGGGTGTTTCAGACATGTGTCTTCATTGAACTTTAATGGGATGGATTGATTTTAATTAACAATTAGCTTTTAACTTAAGGACATACAGATAATAACTTCAGAATTGAAGACACATAATTAAAAACAGCTATTGAATGTGTTCACAATGAATTCTTTGCATGATGAAAGAATATTGATATACTTTAAAACTGAAAAACAGTTGCAAAACCTACAAGTGAATTAACAAAAAGCTCATATTTCCTTTGAAATTGAATCTATTTTCCTCAAGCATCTTTGAAAAGTGTCAAAAACTAGCAATACAAATAATATCCTGAAGATATTTTTGAGCCTCAGGAAAATGGCATTTCTTCTTCTCAGCTACATGAAATTATTTCCTTTATGTCCACATATTTAAATTTTTTTGTGTGGGTGGTACTGGGGCTTGACCTCAGGGCCTACACCTTGAGCCACTCCACCGGCCCTTTTTTGTGATGGGTATTTTTGAGATAGGATCTCATGGAAGTATTTGCCTGGGCTGGCTTCAAACCGCAATCCTCCTGATCTCTTCCTCTTGAGTAGCTAGAATTACAGGTGTGAGCCACCAGGGCCCAACCATGTATTTTAATTTTTGGTAGTCATAGGAAACTTCAATATTTTAAAAATTGAGCTTGATATCATTTTGGTAGCTGAGTTTGGGTTTAGGGAGTAAAAGAAATACATTAAAACTGATTTTATCCTATGTGTATCACAGCCTTAAAATCATAGTTTTGTTGTTTTTGTTTGTTTGTTTTTCCAGATTAGTAATTTTTTTCTTGACAGCTAAAGTCACTTCATTTTTCTGGTGTGTGTGGGGGGGGGTAGGGAGGGAATTGAAAATAAAAGTCCTACATTGGAGCATTCATTTCTAAAATTCCTCTGTAACAAATCAATGCCTTATTTATACTGCAACATTACATCTAAAAACAACCAAAGGTTTGATGTCTCCCTCTCTAATGACCAAGGAGCATCTTGCCCATTTATGTGAGTGTAGGATTTGCTATGGGGATGATAAAATACACATGCTATTTATCTCAAAAAAGAAATTAAAAAAAATAATAACATCAGTCCAAATCTTTACCAAGTTGCTTTAAAGTATAGGCAGAGGAGGACATACAGTAACATTTCACAAGAATGACATGAAGAAGACAGTTTCATTTCTAAATGTTCCATGGGTGGTCATCAAGGCAGATGCTTAGAGTAACTTTAGGAGTACACATTTCACTGTTTTATTGAGTCAGTACCAAATTGGCTGACTGAGCAACATTTCAGATAACTAACATCTTGATGCTATTTTACATTTTGAAAACTTGGATACTTCAAATTCATCACTCAAAAGTAAATGAAAAGAATAGGCCAGAAAAAGCATTCCTCGGTGTTTTTCTGATTACTGATTTACCAATTTACTATTTACTCTGCTTGAGACATGTCCAGGGACCATGAGTTCATTCAGTCTGGACTTCTTAACAAGTTTATACTGCAATTTACAAGAAGAACAAGAATATACAGCCTAAGACGGCAGACACAACCACCCTCAGAGTTAATTTATGGGTATCAGTGGGCGTTCCTCTCGCTTCTTCCAGATATTAGTCTTGCTATCTCTTTTGGCTAGTGGCGGTGGTCTGCCCCTTTTTTTGGTGGGAGATGTACTGGCCTCAAAATCTTCAGCAGTGCTTTTTCTTCCTGGGGACTCCTCTCCAGGATGCTCCATAATCACAGCACTCCCTCCATCTAAGATGTGCCTTAACGCCGGGTCCTCGGGGGAGCAGACAGTGGTTCCACTCTCACTGCTGCTCAGGTCTAAATCTTCTAAGTAAAGAATCTTGGGCTGATGCATGCTTTTGATGAATGTTTTCTCCCTCTCCAGCTTTCTACTCAATTGATGTTCATTCATGTCCACCCCAGAGTCTAGACTTGTGTCATTGCTCTGGGTTCTCTTGCCCTTTTTCAGGTCTATAAAGGAGTGCCTTACTTGTGCAACTGGTTTTCCGTCAAGAGACACAAACCAGGCTCTGGGATGAGGGGAGGGCTTTCCTTTGGACAGCTCCAGGAGGGTCTGTTCTGAAATTCCTTGAAGTTCTGATGAAAACGGAGTCATTACAACAGCTTCATTTAGTGTTCCAGGAACGGAGACAGATTCCAGTAAGCTGTTGGAATATCGGCTCCAATCTGAAGTCTGGGATGGCAAACTCTGCTGACCTTCAAGTACAATATCTTCTTCCCTGGCATCTGGGACCTGTGCATGAGAATGCATTGGCATTTTGGCAATGTCTGTGTAAAGTTCTCTCTGTTTACTGGTTCCATCAATTGGCCGTAGACTAACTGTCCCTTTCTTGGCAAAGTAGCTGACTTAGCGGTATGTAACTGCTCTGGTGTAGAGAAGAGGTCAGATGTCTGAAGAATGGCAATGGGCTGACTGTAGATGTGCATGAGCTGTTCAGGAATGTGTGAACGCCCATACACCTCCTCATTACTTGTGAGGTACCTCTTTTCCTCTTGAGCATCACCTAATGACGAAGACAAGTTGTTGTTAATATGTTTAGGTTGCTTGGTGCCTGCATTGGGCTCCAAAGACTGCATTGGGTTTCTTGAGTAATTATTTTGATTGACTGATAGAAATGAAACATCTTCATTGTAGATTTTAAAATCGTCCCGAGTTTTTACCGTGGAAACTCTTTCTTCTGCTTCTGGCTTTGATGGTTCCTTTTGGGGGGGACTGTATGAGGAGTTTTTGGCATTAAATAACTGCGACTTGTCCTCAGCTTTTAATGCAGCTTTGACTGAACTGATATGATTTATGTGTGTTGTTGAAGTTGTCTGGTCTCTCTTGAGGACCTCAAGTTTAGTGATATTTCTTTCTCTCTTCTGTGGAGCACCACACTTATCCCTAGAGTAGGAAAGAAAGCAAAACATATATAAAAGTTATGAACTACTCATTTAAAAAAATAGTCCGCAATATGCATATCACATATGCAATGTTAGAATATATCTTTCTTGATTTCAAACACACACACACACACATACACACACACACACACACTGTGTTAAAACTAGACAATTTATTTCTACAAATAAACTTAGTAGGGCACAGAATATACTGAAAAGATACACTCATTTGGTAGGTTTTTTTGTGTTTATACACATTAATTAATGTTCTTACCTGCAATAACAGAGTAGTACAGCAAAAAACCCAATGACGATGACTATTGTTCCTCCTAATATGGCTGTGAGAAACACTGTGTGGTAGGCAGTTATGTCCTTGGAATCTTCATTTATACCTGAACCTGCACGGTTCAATATAAACATAGAAAATATCATTTTAAGTCAAATTTTCAACTATGTCATATCCTGAATGAGGCAGATTCAATACAGGTACACAGTTCTATTTGTTGCTTTCCCTCCCATTGCAGACACCCCTATGGGTAAAGTATATCTCCCCTAGCCTTTGGGATTAATCAGCTGACTTGTTTTGACCAGTGAAATGTGGTGAACACCTCAAATGAGTTTTCATGGGGTAGCTCTGTCCTCTTTTGAAGGCACTCTAATACATGAACAGCATATCCGAGAGAGTCACTATTCCTTCAACCTGGGTTCTGCAATGAAAAAAATGTTTAACTGAACCAAGCCAAGCCCAACAGTATAGCAGTCAACCCAAACACTCATGAAATGTAAGGAGCAAATAACATTTGCTATGGCTAGCCACTGAGATAGCAGGGTTGTTTGCTACTGATTAAAGGCTAACTATTACAGAAATTAGTATCTGGATGCTGAGATACCACTATAACAAAAACCTAAAATATGTCACACTGATGTACAGGCCAGGCATCAAGCAGTAAGGATAGTTTCTCTAACTAATGTGAGCTTTGTAAGAGGTTGTGAGATACAATGTTGGTATTGAGTTACATTTGATTAGAAAAGAAATTTTAAATATAAATTTAAAAAAGAATTTTCCACAGCAAGCAAGGATATAAAGAACAGAGAGAATCCAGCCAAGCAAGGTGGCTCACACCTGTAAGCCTAGCTACTCAGAAGGGATTGGGAGGATTGCAGTTTTAGACAGCCAGGACAAAAAGTTCAGGAGACCCAATCTCAATCAGTAACATTCAGCATGGTGGTGCACACCACCCAGCTACACAGGAAACATAAGTACAGAGATTCTGGTCCAAGCCAGCCCAACCATAAATGCAAGACTCTATTGAAAATCAACTAAAAGCAAAAAGAGCTGGGGGCATGACACAAGTGAGAGAGAAGACAAGAATACTAGGACTTGAAGGATTAAAAGCTTCAACTCCTTCTGCCCGGGCTCTAGAATTAGAAGACATCATAATCTCAAATAGGCTGAGTTCAGTGGAGACAGAATGGGCTCACCCTCCTCTTATGAGAGAGACAAATGCTATATGATGAGCTTTACTGTAGTAATAGCTGGTTAATAGAACAGGATGACCAGTGTAGGCTACTAAGATCCTGCATAGGAATGAATGCCACTGGGCAACTAATCTTGAGGTAATCTTCAATGTTGCTAAGACCACATTTTTTTTCAGGAAAGTATAAACATCTACTTTACCAACTAAATTTCATTATGTACCCAAGGTTGCAGTGTGAGAAAAGTGATAGAACAAATGATTTTCTGGTAATCTCTACCATAAAAAAATGGTGGGAATAGAGATTCTGACTGCACCAAGGACACTGGAAGAGACTGAGAAATCAATTAACTGATCTTTAAGTCTACCTGTCAAGTTTTCCATCAACTAATTTGATAAAAGTAAAGTAACAACAGCAATATTAAAATATTTGGAGAAGCAGCATTGTACTGATGCATGTAGATGAGCAAGAGTGACTAATTTGGAATCCTGGTCTCGCCACTTATTTTTATATGGTCTTGGGCAAGTTTCATATCTTTGTATCTCAGCCTCCTCTTCTGTAAAGCATTAGCAACAAAAGTCATATCTAACTCATGTGGGTTGTTGTAGTTTAAATGAATTAATATTTGTGAAACACAACACTGCTTGGTCCATGAGAAGCACTCAGTAAGTGTAAGCTACACAACACCGTTGTTGCTATTGAATGAAATTCAACATTATATAACAGACACTCTAGCCACAGTTTCACAGATGGTGACTGATAATAAAGTGTGTATCATATCTAATAAGTAAATAAGTACACAACTGAATAATATATCATTTCTTTAAACAAAAAAGACATGAAAATAATTTAATCCTGCCTGCAGATTCTTAGGCAAGACCAAGAGCTGCAAAAGTCTGGATAAAATGCAGCTTCTAAGGATATATGAATATATGTTTCCACAATGGAGTGATATCAATAATTTATACTTCACAGAATTCCAACAGAACTCATTTTGGAAATAGGAAGTTGTTGCTTTGGGTTTGTCCCAAATCCTGCATGTATGACAGTAGCAAAAAAGCATGAATCTGCTCTTGTCATTTGATGATGTGGTTGTATACCTAAGAAGCTAGAATGGTAGAAAATTACAATATACCTTAATTGGAAGTACATATTTAAAACATATTAATGAACAATTCTTTTTTAAACTTTACACTCAGTCACCTACTTTACTATGCAAGTCTGAAAATTGACTTTTAAATTCTTAAATATTTTTCCCAAGGAATTCTAGAATCCAATTGTAGAATTATATTTAATATTCATTAAAATATAATTTTAAAAGCAAATTTATTATGCCATTAACCAAACTGTAACTAAAGTAAGTAAAGTAAACATCAGATACTATCTATTCTATCAAATAACTAATTTTGATTTTATAATAATACATCCTAAAATATTTAGCAACATTAGGGATTGTGACAAAAAATGTATATATATTTGGTGTCTGCCCCTGGTTCCTGGCACAGGGCTCCTAGAACGCTTGGAATTTTCTGGGTAATGAGAAAATCTTCTAATGAGGCAATTTTTGATGGGATTCTGGGTCAGGTTGGTCAGCAGAATGAAAGACAGTCATGATTAGTTTCCATGAACTTGGAAACTTCAGTCCCATTTCTAGGGAGGGTAGAAGGGCTAGAGATTGAGTTAATAATTGATCACGACTTTATGAAGAAGTATCTATAAAAATCCCTTAAAGTATGGGATTTGGACAACTTCTAGTTTGGTGAACATGTTTGTGGCCCAGCAGGGCAGTACACCCCATCACTAAGGGGTCAGAGGTTCCTATGCTGGGGAACCTTCCAACCTTACCTTATATATCTTTTCATCTGGATGTCCACCTGCATCCCTAATCATATCCTTTATTATAAATCAATAAATATGCTTCCCTGAGTTCTGGGAGCTGGTACAGCAAAGTATTCAACCCAAAAAGGGGATTGTGGGAACTTCTGATTTAAAGGCAAGTCAGAGCATAGGAAACTGGGGCTTGCTACTTGTAACTGGCATCTCAAGTGAGGGCGGTCTTGTGGGACTCCCCTTGGTATCAGAGGCTTATTCCAGGTAAACAGTGTCAGGATTACGTTAACATCCAGTGGATGTTCACTAGAATTGGAGAGGTGGTTGGTGTGAGGAAAACGCATACACATTTGCTGTCAGATGTGTTCTATGATAAGTATAAAGAAAAACAATTGGTTTTCCTTTTCAGAAATGACCATGTTTGTAACCCTTAAAATTCATGTTGATACCCCAGCCTCCAACATGATTCTATTTGGAGATAGGGCCTATAAGGAGGTAATACAGGTTAAGTGAGATCAAAAGGGTAGGTCCTTCATCAAATAGGACTGGTGTTATAATAAGAAAAGGAAGAGACACCAGAGATGTCTTTGATTCCTCATGTGCCCAGAAGAAAAGCCACATGGGAACACTACAGGATGACTGACGTCTGCAAGCCAAGAAGAGAGGCCTTGCCAATCAGTTCAGATGGCACCTGGATCTTGGACTTCCTGCTTCTGAACTATAAAAAAGTAAATTTCTGTTGTTTAAGGCAACCAGCCTGTGGCAATTATTATGGAAACTTGAGCAGACTAGTACAATATCCAACTCTCCCAGTTTATAAACAAGAAAACTAATACTAAGATAGGTAAATACCTACCTGAAGCTCACCAAGCAAAGACAGAGCTACTGTCAAGTTACCCATAGTCTAGTGGCAGAGTATGGGCTGCAGAATCCATTTTACAAAAGCGTCACTAGAAGGCCTCTATTTCAAACTAAGTGCCAATCTCACAATTCTATTTTAGTACTTTGGTCCACACAAAATATTTTCCAATAGATAAGATAGAATAGAACTTCTACCTATTTTAAAAAATAAATTTGGATTTTGTAATTCATGAAGCAATCTTATGCAAACTGATTTTTTCAGGTATATATTTAGTGCAAGTACACTTTCTATAAGACAAAATGCTCCTTAGGTTATTTTTGTTAAAAATGGAACAACTTAGATTCAGATTAGTTGAAGTATTAAATTAAACATTAATTATTCTTTTTCATCAATATTTCATTATAGTTGCAAATCCTGAATAGCATAAAGCCAGACAGCTGGCAAGACTGCATGATATTTTGCATCATGAAGAACAAAGGTAACCACCCTGTGGCTTCAGAATATATAATCTCATAAGCACCAAGTGCAAATAGAAACAAAAAAGAATATGTTTCTTGATCGCATATGGCTAATGGTCCATATTTCTCTGACTAGAATGCTAAATTCTGCTTTCACTAAATAAAGGCCTTATTATCTTTCATCATTTAAAATTCAAATCTGGCTAACATAAAATGAAGATAAAAATCAAACTGGATTAAAAATCTTTTTTCAGAAAAATAACTCTGAGAGTTTCAAAAACTATACTTGTAATAAAGTTAGATGACACAATACTGCAGAAAAACATTTAGAAAATATTATCCACTTCTTAAATCATATTGTGTATTGGGACTATGCTTTTTGTTTGGGTGGTTTTGGTTTTTCAAGACAGCATCTCACTATATAACCCAGATGGTTTCGAACTTGTAATCCTCCTGCCTCAGACTTCTGAGCGTAGGGATTACAGACATGTGCCAGCATGCCAGGCAAGACTATTCTTCACTAGCATGAAACAGCCATGTAGCAGCTGCCTTTCAGCTGGAGGATAAAATGCCTGAAAAAAAAAA